ATGTCTCCGAACCGAAAATAATGGGCGGCATAAAATCATCAAAGAGTTTGTAGACACTAAAACAAATTAAGAGTCCCAAAATAGTACAGAAAAAATAGCCATTTTAATTATATTCTATTTTAACTTTAGTTTACAGAGCTGTAGAAACTTGGGTACCATTGCTAAGTACATACATAGATACTATTATAACTTATTTAAATTCTAGCTGCCCCAAATATGAACTGTGTAAGTGAGGTTATGTTCATAACAAACTCAAAGTAGTACAGTTCAATGTCTTATGATAATTATTATGTCCTCTAGAAAACAATAACTGGCATTGAAAACTGATAAAAGTGACAAAGGCTTAAATCTACTAATGAAGCTTATATATGTAAAGTGGAGTTTAGTGTCGTGCGGTAGCTCTAGACATGCCCTAGTTATGTCGAGTCCGCATGGTGATAGGTTTGAGGTTACTCTAGTATAGTAATCAGCCTCTAATTGGGACAGGATGACTCGGACTTTACGGTGCAGCTCGAACGCCTCGTATGCTATGTGAGTTCTATCATAGCCGTCCGGAAGGGACTTAGTGTCTACAGTTTACTGTTGTTGGAAATACACAAAGACGAATGCTACAAATTGGCAGAGGAGTTCGGCCGAGAATCAGTTCAGAATATGCGAGAAGCACAGACGGCGACTATCCACAAGGCGGTGTTTTGTCAAAACTTAATATGCATCTCTTGTTCGCGATGTCCAAATTGGCTCGGCGTAACTTAGTGAGAGTCGTCGATGCCGATGGAGAGTGCACAGTAGGAGCCGTTTATTGCCGAACAAAAGATCTCAATATGATGATCAGCTGCAAAAATAGAGTAATCATTTGCCTATAAGTTCACGGAGGCTACCAATAACGGTGGAGAGAGTTTAGAGATGTTAAAGTTAAACAAAAGTGTTGCCGGGCAGTCTTATCAACTCCGGTAGTAGTAGGCAGTTGTTGATGTTGTAAACGCAAAAATATCCCCCAAAGTACTTTTTGGGGAATGTTACGGTAGTGACGGTGCTTGGCCGGATAAAAAACCGGGTCGTTCCGATATAAAGACCCGACTGTCGCGAGAACTATTGGATTTTAGTCACCTCTTACGACAGGCATGCCTAACCGCGTGTAAATTCTTGAACCCCTAATCCGCAGGTGGCAGTAGTAGGCAGTCCTCTATATCATTTGAACTGTGTCGACAGCTGACAAGATAGTGAGTTATCGGAATGTTTATGGCGCAGAACAAAAACCGTGCTGAGCACATTGCGTAAGTTATCCTAGTGGGCTGTTGACTTCAAATGATTTGTGAATGACGAGAGAAGGTCTCAAATATCTTCGTTTCTGAGGAAAGAAGAAATATCAAACACATGGAGCCATTATTTTTCACAAAATCTAAGGTCATCGCGAATGTTTCCATCTCTAAACCTTCTACCGATTTTGAGCTGGGGAGGCTTATCTATATACGTCAATTGATAATAAGCTTTTATGTAATTGTCTATGCAGTCTGAAGAGCATTTGTTGGTAAGAAATGATCTGAAACCTCGCTATATTTTCAACTCGTGGTACACGTTGCAGTCGTTCTTTTCTTTTTTTTTTTTTTGTTCCTCGCCTGGATAGCCGAAACAAGAAGTACTGCAAGTTGAATGGGGGAATGAACCTTCGAACCTTTCTTTGTTTTTCTGGACGGAAGCTCTCTGGTCTCTGGTCTGAGTCTATATAAAAACCTCCTAAAATAATCACGTCTTTTGTCGGTTACATCTAGGTGATTTCATACGAGTGCTTCGTTCTGGTAACTACTGCCAATCACATGAAATTAATCACCCCAAGCGCAGTTGCCAAATTGGTTTGAAGTTGGTTTTTCTATCTTTTGGAGTATTGGACATTTCTTGAATATTTTTCGCGGACTTAAACCCGATAGCAATGAGATCTGCCATGAATCAGAGTGGAGCCTTAAAATGAAGCCTCCATGTGAGCCAGGCGCAACAAGTTCCTCATGCAGGCTCGAACTTTTGAGCAGAGGTGGTAAGAACAACAACTGCATGCGAGAAAATATGCCAAAAAATTTGCCTTCTTTTTGAGTAGCTGTCATTAATACCAGTTTATCTCGCCCTAGTAGGCCATTGGAAATAAAAAGATTTAATTCGAACTAAATCAGAAGGCACTGGTAGAGAGTACAGCTATCCTCCAACAGGCGGTTGAATATAAAAAGCTTTCACTTCATATCAAAAATACTCTCGGAGGGCTAGACATCTCCTGCCGAGGAGTGAGCGCAATTAGAAAAACTAATTTTCTATCATTTCGCTCGTTTATCGTACCAGTACCCAATCCCTGGCCTTCTCTTGCGGTCGTCTTAATACTTTCACATAAAAATCGCGCAACAAAGCTCTAGACATTCAATTTAAGAATTAACCATTCAACTACTTCCGACTAGTTGGCGCGCCATTTTCTGAGAATTCTAGAACAAACTGCCTGCTGTTGAATGCAAGTTTCCCAGGAGTATACATAATGGATAGTTGCTGATAGTTTAAACGTTTTATGAAGCTATCACACACATATAACACACTCTCTCATACTACATACATATGTACATATATCTACATACATTGTTAGTCCTTTCAACACTTGCTTGCCATTGGGATTGCTCTCATTAAAAATTCCCACAAGTAGCCACTAAATAGTTAATTATATTGATTTTAAAGTTCTTGTACATAACTTTGTTTAAGTTTAAATGTACTTGCATACACACATACACATAACCTTATATTGTTTCCTGCAATGTTTGAACAAAATGTGCGGCTTTATGACATTTATCAACACTTAAATCAGCTCGCACGCCACAGAGCAAATATTTATACATACGTGTACGAGTATGTATGTTTGTATGTACGAGTATGTATATATAAGCCCTAAGGTGAAGTACCCTGTAATTACTCATACATATATCGTTAAGAATTATAATAGGTGTAGCTCCAGATGACTAATTCAGGGGGAGAACTTATGATTACCTATGAAAGTTCTCATTAAGAAGCTTTCATTAAAGCTCCTGTGGAGCTGCGTTGTAATTGGTAATTTAATGCCCCATAATTTTCATGTTGGTCTAGTAGGAATGGCAGTCTTCAGATTTGGATTTTTCTTTAAATCAGAAATTATATGAAAATCGTGAAGTAGATACATTGCGTTGGGTAGAAATTCACCAGATAGAAACCACCACCATTTTTAATGAAAAAGTGACCTTAGCCTAGGATAGAGAGCATCCCATTTAATGACTACAGTGGAAAATGTTCGGCAGTGTCTTGATTGCGAAGAGACTATTGTCCAACTACTTGATGTTCTTATAAGGCTGATATCGCAACCGTCCAAGAGGTGCAATGGGGCAAACAGTTACAGTAAGAAGTGAGTCCTCGCGACATGCACTATAGTGGCCATACAAAGGAGCGCGAAGCTGGTATCAAATTTGTGTTGAGAAAAACAAAGTAGGTGCTGAGTGCTGTCATTCACCCCAGTGGATGAACGTCTCGCCACATTCCCCAAAGAAACGAAGTTCTTCAGCTGTTGCTGTGGAGCGTACTTATGAGTGTTGCCCCCACCATGATGACAATATTTTTCTGGGTGATTTTGACGCCAAGGTTGGCAAAGAAATAATCTTCGTACGACTTCGAAAAATTTAAGTTCCCCCACGAAACATTCCCAAATGGGCTTAAGATGACCGACTCCACCGCGTCCTGAAATATGGTTGTATGTAATACTAAATTCCAGCATAAGACATTTTACGAAACTTCTATGCTATCTCCAGATCGCAAATCTCCGAACCAGATTGATTATGTTATGAAAGACGGACGACCTATCTCTTTTGTTCCAGATTTTCGTACGCTCGGTAGTCCAAACAGCGACTCGTCCACTATCTTATAGCAGCAAAAATACGCACACAGGGTTCTACTTTCGCTCCTGCTCTCTGAGAAATCTCATAACGAACTCACTGAGTCGCTCAGGTAATAAAGGATCTGGGATTCATTCATTATCCGCAAGGTCTTCTAAGCCGCTCACGATTTCTCGTCTTATTTGAAAACCATAGGTTAGGTTCCCTCAGGTCGGGTTGGGTTACACTGGCCGTATGATGGGCCTTACATCGACTCTATGGTCCTTAGCTGTGTCAGATATCGGCCCGTTTTAATGCGGTCTAAAGCAGTCACTTTTCACGTAGTTCAAGAAAGCCTTAATATTCAACTTTAAAGCCTCCTTTGAAGTACAATAAAACCATAAATAATAAAACAAAATTCTTTTCTAATAAATAATATTTTTTATTGCATCAATTTCAACTGTATCTACTGCAGGAGCTTTAAGCTAAAAAAGCTCGGATTTTTATTACAACAGATTAAAGAAAAAAATCTATATATAATTGATACTTTATATGCCTAAGGAAGCTAAAGTTTTAAGAAGCCTCCGAATTGCGTATGGAGTTCTATAAGAAACTATTTTAGTTCGTAACAGAAATACACACGGAGATCTTGACTTTCCATGATGAGTGTTGATCGCATTAAAATAGAAATATATCATATATCACGAGTGAGATTTCAGCCAACGTGGCAGATTCTGGGACCTCCTTCTTCTTTGCTTACGTAGACAACGCTTACGCAATTATAGCTGAGTTTACAATAGCACGTCATTAATTCCTTCTTTTCGCTGTTTGGCGCCAAGCACAACTAGGTTCCTCCCTACCTGATGATTTCCAACGGAGTGGAGCTTTTTCTCTTTCTCAGCTTCCTTATATAAGGTACACTATAAGGAAACACCTTGGCTGAAACTTCGCTTGGTATCGAACAGGTGGCAGGGATCCTTCCCAATATTGACGGAGCTTTTAGTGTTGACGTTAAGTCAGTTTAGACAGCCGAATAAGAATTCAGACACAGCGTCGTAAAGGCAGCTCCTATTCGTGCTGTCGAGGGCGGCTTTAAAATCGACGAATAGGTGGTGTGCGTCGATCCTCTTTTCAAGGGTTTTTTTTCAAAGTTTAGCTCATGGTGATTATATGGTCAGTGTTGGATTTACCAGATCTAAAGCCACACTGATTAGGTCCGGGACGGTGGACTTCAGTTTTTCACACAATAGGCTCAATAGCATCTTATATGCGAATTTGTAGAGGCTTATACCACGAGAATTTGGCGCAGACTGTGTGATTTTCCTTTTTGTGGATTGGGCACAGTACACTTGGGATTCAAAATTCCATTCGACCGAACTTACTTTGCAAAAATGTGATCAGTTCTTTGCCGCTCTATTTGAATAGCTCGACAGGCAACCATCGACCTTCCGCCGCTTTGTTGTTCTTCAAGCGGCAGATGATTGCTATTTCAGCTCGGGATATTACGTAACACATTCATGGTTATATTTTCCTATCTGGTTTCTGAATTAAAAAGTATCAGGATATATACAGGAAGACTATATTTTTAATTCTACATACGACTTATTTACAAATTATAATATTTTTTAATGCATAAAACTGTACATTGGATTCTTACATCTACAATCCCCACAGCAACAATCACTCAATACTTTGCCAACTTCTCGGTGCTTTTGGTGAATGCCGCATTATCATAGCCCGCCGAGGTGTTCACAGTACCCAAAACCATTGAAATACCCGATGGTGAATGTTGTATACCCGTGCCTTTAACGGTTTTTGGTAGCGTACCATTCGCTGTCGACTTTTCGCCGTTACCAGCATACGGCGTTGTTGTTGGAAAGTAATAAGACGCATTATTAATGCGTCGATAGAGCAGAGTGCGTAGCTTATAGACCGTGAAGAGTATCGTGTAGATGCAGCAGGTTAGTAGTAAAACGCCAATTACGACCAGCGTTGCATTTAACGGTTCACGCCAATCGACGACGTGATATATGTACGGTTTGCCTCTTCTAAAATGGAAATATATTTATGTATATATGTATATAAGAAAATAACATATTTTTTTCGAATTTTTATTTTTTACCTATTCAGGCCGCCACATTTTTGGTAAATGAAAGAAAATATCGCAAAAATGATGCCAAAAGTAACTGGTAAAAACATGTGTAGTAGGCGTAAAGGATGCGCCACAATCAGCAGGTCGATGAACATGAAGATGGAGTTGCAGGCGTGAGTCAACACATTGGTGGCATTTAAGGAACTCTCTGCGGCTGAAATAAAAGAAATAATAATAATAATAATGCAATTAATGAAATTAATTTGGGAAACCCAAAACATTTTGGAGTCTGCGTTAAACCGTTAAAATGTGTTTGTATATTGTAATTGTCATAAACACTGAACACATTTTCGTCTGAATTTACCCACCTCTGGGTCATCGCCGAATGGTCGATGGATTATTATGAGGCGCTTTTTATTTAAAGTTGCACCAGGCGGCGTTAAGTTTTCCTAGCGAAGGCGGAGAGGGCATTTGAAAATATATTTTCCACAATTTTAGAGGTTAGTTTTGAGGTTTCTCTGAGACTGCTCATGTCAGCACTTATTGCGAACTACTTGGCTACTCTGGTCAATGCGAATGCTTTCGGAACACAGTTAAAAAAATTCTTTAAAAACGACTCAAAACTGATGACCCTTCTCTTTTAATTTTGAACCTCTCGAGCTTCCTCTTCATAGAGGTCCTTGAGGATCTAAGCAGAAAAACTCTCAGCGCTTCGCAGTGTAACCTGGGAACGGTGTCTCTGATATTTCATTTCGTATAAATCAAAATTACAACGGACAAATTTATTTATCTCTCATCCCTTAGGAGATTTACTCACGAGTGAAAACTCCGAACACAAGCAGCAAGAGTCGAAAAATATAAAATCATCTAGACGGCAGCGTAAAGATGAGGATAACACCAGGGCTAAGAACCTTTTCCTAGGTGTCATGCTGCAAATATAAAAATCCTATATTCCCTACTAATCGAACAGAGCGTAGAGATCCAACAACGTTGCACTTCTATTTCAATTATATTCAACCGTAAAATAGTAAGTTTGGTGGATTCTACGCCTATAGAACCTTAGCAAGCATGATGCCGAGTAGCCACACCGAAGCCATTTAGTGAACTTATTTTGTTCCTATGCGTTTGCGAACAATTCCCACGATTTACTGGACTGTTTAATTGGGCAAACACCGTAAGACTGAAGCGAAGAGCATCATGAATGTAAGACGATTCAATAGTCTAAACGGTAGACACTGGGAAAAGGTGTGAACCAGCGATATGTCCTCTTCTGTCATGTTCTGTTCATGTGCTACAATCAGCTGATTCCAACTTACCTTACCTATGGAGGTAGATGCCCCGTCAGTTCACCTAAAATACTGCCTTAAGACGACCTACGTTATTAGTACTCTACGTTCATGTAAGATCTTTCTTCTTGATTCACTCTCAGTAAACCTCTGTCCTTGTTATTGTATCGCATTGGGAACCATCCAACCATCTTCAAAATAACTGTTAGCATCATCTATCGCCCTGTTCACTCTACTCGGTAAAGAGTACGTGGCTTACACCTAACAAAAGGTTTCATTTCCCGGTCGCTACTAAGATTAGACTGTTTTTAGTTATACCTTTTGGTACGGTATCTTACCCTTAACAGTTAGAGGACTGAACTTATGATCTAGAACTTTGATGGAACTGACGTCCAAAATAAATTCCAGGACCTTTTCTCACACACTCATGACTAGCTATGTAGCACATGCTCCAGAGGTTTAAGGAAAGAACTGGTCTTTAGAATCACTCACCGTAGCAGTTCTCTATATGCTGTAACCTCAATTTCGACATAATACTGCTGCAGCAGGTGCTCCGAACTCGTAGAGGTCTACACGAGAAGTTTTCACTATCTTTATCTTGAGCTACATTTTTTTATTTAGAATTACACTGAAGTACTTAGCCGAGTTGAAGGATATGGGTTGAAGTGGACACCGAGTTAAAATAAAAATATTTATGCTTGTGAAATTATCTTTCATTACAGCAACAACATTATTCGCCTTGAGGCTCAAAGCAGAACCAATCTTGCCAAAAGGCTCTACTTTGGACTGTGCAGACATTGAGAAATAAAATCCTCTCTCGAAAAACAAAGGCCAAAAACTCTTTTTCACTAACACTCTTCTATATGGACGATGACTAAATAAAGAGGCGTTCGGAGATTTCGAGAAAAAAGTTTTGCTGAAGGTTTATGGTCATTTGGTCCGACGAATACCGCAGGCAATGAAACGATGAGTTGACATATGTCAGCAGTAATATTGCTCAGCGAATTAGGGTATAGCGACTACGCTGGATAGCTCAAGGTTTTGTAACTTTGAAAGTATATGAAGCCAGTGGAAGCTAAGTAATAAGTAAAGACCTCCACTCCACTTTTTGAAAAGGAACAGGTGGAGACCCAACTGGCTTTGCTTAGTGTCTGCAATTGGGTGCCGCTGTTGTTATAATCGCGTAAACAGTGTCTACGTCAGATGGGAAGAAAAAGAAGATGAATTTATCTGTCATTAGAGCAAAAAAAGTGTAGTCCACGAAGGTGAAAAGTATTTCTCTTTCCTCCGGTAAAATACTGACAGCACTTCAGGTTAAGGGCACCAAATGCCACTTTGGCCGCTCTAACCGTTGAAGCATTTTTCGACCGAGCTTCTCTACCGATTGTGTTGTGCGTCTTAACTTATTTTTTTTTTTAACAAATGGAGGGACCTACGGTTTATTCTAAGTCGCCTCCGAACGGCCGATAAGTTTTTATGAAGAGCTTTCATTTCAGTCCACACGTAGGGCTTGACATTACCGGCCGAGGGGTGACTACAATTGGAAAAAATGTATTTTATAAAATTTTTGGAGTTCGGACTGGGGCTAGAACCAAGATCATCCGAATGTTAGTAAGCAATGCTGGCCATTCCGCATCAGCGGCTACCATATGTTCTCGAACAATGAATTTTACATACTTTTAGTCCGTAGAAAAACCGTAATGTATGTTCCCTAAATAAAATTTTGAAATCCACAAAGAACTTACCATTATACAGCAAACTCCAATAAATTATGGTTATCACTACGGAAAGGACTAGAGATATTATATGCATGCTCCAATAAATAACAAATGGACTAGTCAACGAATCCATATTCAGCAATTTATCTGTGAATGAGTAAAATAAATAAACCGTTAGAAAATGAGCATTAATATGTATGTTATGTACACGTTAACCTACATACATGTGTATAAACATATGTAGGTAGGTATTTGTAAAACAATTCAACTTTAATTAATAACTAACCCGCATATTCTGGATGGAAATGCCATGTGGTGACTAGAATGGCGCCGAGTATATTTGTAAGCATACACAACATGACACCCCAATTGGTGAGGTAAATAAAATACAGCCAAAAGTTGGACGAAGAACCCTCCTCCTTCTCGAGCATAGAATCTATCACGACGGCCGTGAAGAACAACGCAATAAGCCAACGGTAAATTAAATATGCAACACTTTTGGTGCGACTCTGCCACTGTAACGAGAACAAAAAAGGTGTTGAACATGGATGGGAAATGGAAAAAAATGGAAAAAGAATAATAATAATAAATAAAAATTAAATAATATAAAAAATTAAAAATAAATATTAAAAAGTACGATACAAATACAAAAATAATTAATATAAATAAGAAAAAAAAAAAAATAAAAAAATAAAAAATGAGTTTAAAAAAAAAAGATTATAGTAAAATAAGAAAAAACAATAAATATAAAGTGGTTTTTAATAAAAAAGCGCAAATACAATAATAAATAAAAATAAATAAATAAAAGTAAATTAAAAAATTAATATTAAAAATAATAAAAAACACAATACATAATACAAAAAAAAATTAAAATAATATAAAAAAATAAATGAAAAGAAAAAGTATAAAAATCATAGAAAAAATTTAAGAAAATCAAATAAAACAAAATAAAATATAGAAAAAAAATTATATAAAAAAATTCAAAAACTTAAATTATGGTATAACATAAAAAAGTGGAAAACATTTACATAAACAAAAACTAAAATTAAAAAAAAATTACAAAAATAATTAAATAATATAAAAGAAGAAAAAAAAATATAGTGAAAATAAAAATATTGTTTTAAAAAATATGATTATAGTAAAATAAAAAAACAACAAATATAAAATGGTTTTAAATAAAAAAGCACAAATACAATAATAAATAAAAATGAATATTGAAAATAAATTAAAAAATTAATATTAAAAATAATAGAAAACACAATACATAATACAAAAAAAAAAATTAAAATAATATAAAAAAATAAATGAAAATAAAAAGTATAAAAATCATAAAAAAATTTAAGAAAATCAAATAAAACAAAATAAAATATAGAAAAAAAATTATATAAAAAATTCAAATTATGGTATAACATAAAAAAGTGGAAAACATTTACATAAACAAAAACTAAAATTAAAAAAAATTACAAAAATAATTAAATAATATAAAAGAAGAAAAATAAATATAGAGAAAATAAAAAAATTGTTTTAAAAAATATGATTATAGTAAAATAAAAAAACAATAAATATAAAATGGTTTTAAATAAAAAAGCACAAATGCAATAAAAATAAATTCAAAAATAAATATTAAAAATAATAAAAAATGCAGAACAAAATACAAAAAAAAAATAAAAAAAATTAATGAAAAGAAAAAGTGCAAATATCATAGAAAAAATTTCAAAAATTATATATTATAAAAGATAGTATAACATAAAAAAGCGCAAAACACTTGTAGCAAAAACAAAAATAAATAAAAAAATAAATTAAAGATTATAATTAAAATAAAAGAAATAAAACAAATTTAAATAAAATAAAAAAGAAAAGTGTATAAAATTAAATAATAGTAAAATAAAAAAAAAATTTGATAAAAAATAGTATAAAAAAGCAAAAACAAAAACAAAAAAACAAAATAAACCAAAAAAATAAATATAAAAGTAAGAATCAAAAAAAATATAAAAAAATGGAATAAAATACACACAAACACAAAAAAATAAATTAATTAAAATTAAATAATACAAAAAAGATAAATTAAAAATTTTAATACAAAAATAATTTATTAAAATATAACAAATGGTATAAAACAAAAAAGCGCAAAACACTGTTAACACATAAAAAAAAAAAAAAAAAAAAAACAAATAAAATAAAAAAATAATTAAAAAAATAAAAAAGCGCAAAACACTGTTAGCACACAAATACAAAAAAATTAATTAATTAAAATTAATTAAAATAGAAAAATTAATACAAAAATAATTAAGTAAAATATAAAAAATGGTATAAACTAAGAAAGCGCAAAACACTGTTAGCACACAAATACAACAAAAAATAAATAAAATTAAACAAATGAAATGAAATAAAATAAAATATTAATTAAAAAAATAAAAAAAGGTATAAAACAAAAAAGCGCAAAACACTGTTAGCACACAAATACAAAAAAAAAATAAAATAAAAAAATTTATTAAAAAAATTAAAACAAAAAATTATTTAGTAAAATATAAAAAATGGTATAAAATAAAAAAACGCAAAACTCTTGCAGTGCACACATTGAATTCTATGAAAAAAAAACGGATGTGGGTGTGGGTGTAGGGTGTTTAATTTGCTATACATATTTAATGTCGTGCTAATCAAGAATTCGGTCAAGTGTCGACTGTCGGAAGGCAAAAGAAGGCTTGTTATTTGCTTACTTGCCTTTTTGTGTTAGCTGCGGAAATGTAAGGTGTTGGCTGGCGTATATTTACCTTTATAATAAGTAAATGAGCCTTGTCGACACACTCTTATGTACATACATTGTGACAAATTTATATAAAAAAAAATGAGCTAAACTCGCTACAACTAGACTCAAGAATACCTAACTTAATTTTTTTTTTTTACTTTTGTTAAGAAATTTATACTAAACTAATAAACTGCCCTCATCACCATTCTCCAGCAATTGCGAGCGGTAACCAAAAATCTGTCTTCATTTCAAATATAATACTTTTCATTAAATTTCTGTAATCGGCTTTATACCACTTACGAAGAGAGTCTAATATTATTGCTTGCCTAGAAGTAAATAGTGTTATTTATTGCCTATATATATAAATATATAAAAAGCGTAAGGGCCCGGCAGGAAATCGCTGCAGCGGATAAATTTTATCCAAGACTTCATTTGGAAGGAATTTAAAAATAGACTTTTTAGACTTTTAAGAAATATTTTTGCATATATCGGTCCCAGATCCATTTGTTGGGCTATCTACATATATTCCAAATATCGATTATATCGAACCAAAAGTTTTTTTAATAGGTTCGTCGCAGGTTTACATTAGGGAAGTAAAAATTTTGCACTTCTTTACTTATTTCCCTCACTCGGTTAATAAATGCAAAAGTTTTACTTCCTGAATGTGAACCTGCGACGGACCTATTAAAAAAACTTTAAACCATTTACACCAAATATCAAGTAAATCCAACCATAAGAACGATTTATTTAAAGTGATGGTTTCCGGGTCCACTTCTCCGAAGAAAAAGTGTTTCCTATATTAATTTAGACCTACAGCTAAATCTGTACCAAATTTTAAGTAAACCGAACGATATAAAAATAAATTCAAATTTTTCAAATAAATCGACTCCGGATTCACATCCCGGAAAAACGTTAAAAATATCATCTAAGTTTCAAGTCGGTACAGTGAGTGATTTGGGCTGTGAGTTTATCCGTCAGTCCAGTCAATCAGGCCAAGGCCTTTTATATATATATTTTTAAAGTCAAAAGGGCTGCCAGAACAGTGAATTCGTTGACTCTAAATTCATGCTCTTCTCAAAATCGGATGATAGTGCTTATAGCGCCATCTAAGGTCATTCTTTGACTTTTATCTGATTTAATAACTTGATTTATGTATTAATTTATGCCTAAGTGGTTGATACTTTTCCGATTTTATTACAGAAATTTTCTACCCCTAATCCAAGACATGAACACCTGCTCTAAAGCAGATATCCGTTTCGAAGAATCCAATATTTTTACTACTCTGAAAACGACGAACAATGAGTTTTTGAGCCAAGAAGTAGCAAGAAAAATTACTAACCTTGTTGATATTACAACTCTTATTGTAAAAAAGGAGATACTTAGGGAATGATGAGCAGTACTAATTAAGTCTGTAATAGATCAGTATCTGGCTCAGCTCTTGGAAAGAAAAAAAATCAAATTTATCGAGCCATATATACGATTAGGTCAATCTTTTTCCGAAGTAAACCGAATCATAAATACGATTTTCGCGAATTGGTACCCACCTTTTCTAATTCCTCACAAAGGGAAATATTCAAAACCACTTTAAGTATAAAAAAAAATATACAAATCGGTGGAAATAGTGGAAATATTTTCTTTATAAAAAATATGAAAAATTTCATAAATTTGTATATTTTGTTGGACTAACAATTGCAATCAGCAGCCGACCATTTTGAACCGCAATTAATTTTCTTTTTTTCGAAATGTTTTAAAATTTTCAGGTATTTTTATATGTGTTTCTACAATCTGACACCTATGGGCACCATAGAGCTGGTTATACCATTCCAATCAGGAAACTTCAAATTATCAATTAATAGCACAGAACAGCTAAGTGGCATCCTTTAAAGTGTGTAACTCCTCTAAGTTTGGGTATCCGAGTTTATGGTTTATAATTTGGTGGTACGATGATCATATTGGGGACGCCGATGAAGAGCTAATGCAAGCTTGTCAGCGTTGTTCTGTGGTTCTTAGCAGAAAATACGCTAATGTCGCCTACATACTATGGGCTTTACGGACTCCATTCAGCTGATTTGTATGCTTTAGACTAAACTTCTACTTATTATTATTCCATTCACCCACATATGATCTGAAGGCCCCTTATGACACTGAACAGCCACTTTACACGTGCACTAAAACCTACTAATCTGTGCTGAACTGGTCGAACTAGCTCGTTTACTGGGCCTACCCTTAGATAGCCTCTACTGTTATACCCTGCACCTATGCGGAATTTCCTGGCTGCTAAATTAATAAGCACAAAATATTCCAAGATATAAATAATATTGATTTTTCTTAAGAATACAGAATTTTACATTTTTATTCGAATTTCCAAAAAAATATTGCCCTAACTGAAGAAGAAACCGAACTTTTTTTTAATTTTTACTTCGAATAAACTATAAACTGAATCACTAGGGTGAAGGGTATAAAAGCATACATAGATAAAATTACCCCTAACAGTAACTAATATTTTTTATTTTTTTATTTCTTTGTTTTTTTTTTTTTTTTTGCTAAGAAATATTCTTGTTTGTATTGCGCAATGACCCTAATTAAGGCAAACAAAGTAGACCTTGTTGTGAGGTCAATATGAAAACAGTTTCAACTGCTCTTTGGAGAGGACATTGTGCGACCTGCCTGCACGCGGCGAGTGCATTGAATTTCTCATTTTAATAAATTATATTATCAAAAGCAAATATTGACCAATTGTAAGTATGAGTAGGCAGTAGGAGTAACTTACATTTTGTAAGTCTTAAGCTCGCCACGCGCCAGGCTACTCGTATGTAAGTGTGTGTCTTTTGGATTTTTAACTATGTGATTTTCAACACATGTGTTGACATTTTAATAGGAAAATAAAAAGTTTGACTGAAAAAAATGCAGTAATAACCTTCAAAGTAGCGGCATATTAATGCATCATTCAATACTCAAAGTGGGAGCAATGGAACTTTTGCCATGTGTGACTTTTGAATAGCAAATAAGGGTTACAAATTTTCGATTTCTGAGAACCTTCACTTTACACATTCCATCTACACAGCAGTAGCTCGGCTCGTCTTGTTCCCCTACACCCATGTGATACCAACTGTCAGAACAATAAAAGCCTTAAGTAGAACTTACGCTTCCTTATTGAAAAAAATCTCTAGAAGACTTTGTAAATCTAGCCACAGAACACTATTCAAGTAGAACACACTCAAGTAGCGATTTGCATGGGACAAAGTCATAACTCTGGCTTCTTTAACTGGAATACATTTGGTTGATCATAAATTGTTCGCCTTGCAGTAACCATCTGCTGATTATACCATCTCCAGTATGTGCTTCGACAATTTCTTTTCAACGAGAACCCCAAGCAGAAACGAATAAGAAAACACACAGATCGCTGAGCAGGCAGCCATGTTTAAATATGGGTCAAAATTCGATGAAAAAGTGGACAGCGAATCCACTCTCGGATGATCTCAGTAAATATCAAACTACTAGACCACTGCAGCGTCTCCCAAGCAGAACTCTTTGCACTCTTTTTAGAAGTATTTTTAGAAGTCAGCGAGTGACTGCTCAAATCGACGATAGTAGGGCTATCACTCACGATATATTCCGACAGTCAAGCAGCCATCGACAACGATAACGACAAGTGTAATAACAGATCACTGTCCAATGGAGCTTCACGATAACAGAATGGTTTATTACTCTAAAGAATTATTGCCGCAGCGGCAGGCGCGAGGAAGAGATAGAGTTTATTGAATACTACTGCTATCACTGTCCAACTTTAACGTCTACACGACACAAGTTCCTGGGGAAAGACTGATTTGATTGTCTCGCTGAGCTAGTTTCAGCAAAAATTGCTAAACTGTTTGCTTTTATAAGGCACACAAAACGGTCCGAAAATTTTTGAGAAGATGAAGTGCTTTGGTGGTCACTGACCAACCACCAACTCAATTCAACTCTGCCTTCTGTGGTGTCTGTAAGCTGGAACTCAGAAAAGAGATAGCCGGTTTTGTTTAGTCAATTCTCAAAGAGATCATCAGTGATTCAGCTTGTTTTATAGTTTGCCGTGAACAAATTTAGAACCTTAAAGGCTGCATTGTTGCCACTCAAGCTGAGAATACGGTTGCCAATGTAACTGGTGTAATGGAAATGTGTGCCTGGATTATATTGAAGCTGAAGCCTAAAATAAGAGTTCAAAGGACGAGTTATACAAGGATAGGGCTATTTTGTTTTATAACTTAATCCGGACATAGTAACCGAGCCCGAGCACCATCGTAAACTATGCAGCACCGATTTTGTGCGCCGGGGACGAACGAGACGCAGATGAAGAAGCTACAGACATGCCAGAACACCGCCCTCAGGACTGCGACAGGAAACCTCCTGATGTCGCCGGAGCAACACTTGCACACTACGAGTTAAGGAGCATAATGCTTTGCTGTTCAAGCAGTTCCTATTGTGATGCTACCGCAGAGAGCACCCCAGTATGCACCTAATAGCAGCTGAACCTCCACCTAGGCACATCAGAAAGGGAGTACCAGACTTAAAGGACACAATCCAGCAACATGTACAAGCACTGAACCCCATTCACCAGGAGTCAATTAACACCTTCAAGGACTCCCTTCCAGTGAATGACGTACTCAGAGAAAAGCCACCACCTATAGCAAACAGCCACCACCTATAGCCTTGAGAGACCCGTGTGATCCTGAAACAACTTAGGCCTGGATGTTGTAGCAGGTTATACTCCTACTTATCCAGACTAGACCCCAGCATACCCAACGTATGATCTGCATGTGGAGAGTATCCGCACGACACTAACCACCTCTTCACATGCCCTCTCAAACCAACTCATCTAGCTCCCCTCTCCCTCTCGTCCGACCCCGTCGAAACAGCTCGTTTTTTTGGACCTCCCACTAGATGAGCTCGGCGACTTAGACTGATCAAACCTGTGCCTAAGCGGGGTTAGCGAACCGCTACAACAACAAAGAAAGTCAACCCCTCCGAGTCTTTTTGTGACCCGAATAAAAGCTCCTCATAAAAACTCATCGGCCGTTCGAAGGCGGCTTCGAATAAAACGTAGGTCTCTTATGCACACGAGTGCCACTCTCACGGCTCACAGAGTTACGTGCATAAACCGTGGATACTTTACATATTCATGCAGAAAATACACTTTCGATCTTAAAGGAAAACAAATCACCTTTTTGTATACTTACTTGTGATTTAACGAAATCATCTGCTGGCGAGTGATCGAAACCACATTTATCTCGACGAAATTCCTTTTTCACAGGATGTACAATAACGTGTAAACGACTCATACTGGCACGGAATTATAATATTTTGCATACAGGTAAAATTGTGGATATAGTAATTTTTCCTCAACCGTTAAATATCCTTTGAATTTAGTTCATTTTAATTAGTTACAGTTGAAGTGTTGTCCACTTAATTTTCATGCTAAATTTTTGGCTTATATTTTCTGTGTAGCTGTAAATAGTATAAAAGAGAATTTTATCAAAAATTATGTATTTAAAAATATTACGAAATTAGTCAACCAAGCAGCCCTCAATTTTAAAGGAAGAGCGTAGAAGCCTCTAAATGTGCATATACGAGGTATGCTCAAAAAGTATCGCGAATTTTGAATTTTCGCGGGTTACGTATAATCGAATTTCGATTTTTTTGTGGCGTTATATTGGTACTCATGTCTGTCACTTATGCCAACAAGCTCGGCCATTTTGAATGTTCACTTAATTGTTGACAGCTGCTTTGCTTGTTTTGGATGGTCTTCGATTTTTAATTTTTAATAAAAGGTTTGCTGACAGTTTTCTTCGATTGCAGGGGCGTGGTGCATCATGAGTTCTTGCCACAGGGTAGAACGGTCAATAAGGAATATTACCCGCAAGTTATGCGCAATTTGCCCGAAGCAATCCGCCAGAAATGATCGGATTTGTGGAAGAACAAAATTGGCTTTTGCACCACGATAACGCCCCTGCTCACACATCGTTGCTTGTGCGCGACTTTTTGGCCAAAAACAACACACTAATTATGCCGCAGCCACCGTATTCCCCAGATCTGACCCCCTGTGACTTTTTCTTGTTCCCTAAACTGAAGAGGCTCATGATAGGACGACGTTACGCTACGATTGACGAGATAAAGGCGGCATCGAAGGAGGAGCTGAACAAGATAAAAAAAAGAAATGATTTTTTGAAGTGCTTCGAAGATTGGAAAAACCGTTGGCACAAGTGTATAATATCTTATGGGGATTACTTTGAAGGGAACAAAATAGATATTCAGGAATAAATAAATAATTTTTGAAAAAAACACAAAATTCGCGATATTTTTTGAACATACCTCGTATAAGCAAATGATTGCTAACTAACCAAATATTATATAAATATATCTGATATTTTTTTTTTTCATTTCTAACAATATATTTTTATTTTCCGAAATATTATTTTAGCATCGTCATCAAATACCCACAGCACGTCTCAAAGTTTCAAATATTTATATGTCGTAAAAAGCAAAAAAAAAAAACAGCTTTAATAGGTGCTTGCCAAAAATGTAACTTTGTTATTGAACATTTCGTTTTCAACATATTTCAATCGTTAAGCATTCTTTTTTTAATAATAATTTTGTGTAAAAAAAAATTCTAAAACTTCAAGTATAGTTATAAAAGACACCGAAATTCTGTGACAAGAAAAAATACTCAAACTCAATAAAAATATTATTTATTATTTAATTATATTATTAACTAGCAGATGCGGTCACACATTATGTAGGCTTTATATTTATTTAATTTAATTTTTATACTAACTGAGAACGATTAAAAAAGCCTAAATAGCAACAGATTCCTCAAAAAAAGAGTGTTTTTTTTAATAAATTTTATTTATTCCTCAAAAAAAGAGTGTTTTTTTTAAATAAATTTTATTTATTTACAAAAATATATTTAGTTTTTATTTTTTGGAGATAAGTAGATGTACAAAAATATTAATTGAAATAAAATTTTGTTTTTTTTTTTTCAAATGGCAACTCTTAAAATTGCTGCTGAAACACGTTCCTTTTGTTGGTGAGTGAGAGTGAGAAAAGTCTGAAAGCAAAAATTCGAAAAGGTTTCTTATTCTGTATCACATTGGCTTTGGTCGGGACTACAATGAAAACTTTTCACCAAAAAAAAAAAAAAAAAAAAAAAAAAAAAAAAACAAACAGAAAAAGCGCAAACTTTCCAATTTATCTACATTTATCCAATTTAAATTGTTTATAAATTTTTTAAATAACAATGCATATTTTTGGTTTTCGTACCGACCATAGAGAGACATTTCATCAGGTGGCAAATGCCGCTTAGTTACTGTTCAACAGGTTCTAAATAAGCGTGTCATCCAGCTGTAAAAAACATTGTTTCGAGAGAGATTCGGCGATTAGAGTACTCGAGCGGCCTAATTTAACGCTTGGCGTGCTCCACTCTCCCCTCTGCTATATTTACTTCTTGGACTAGCGGACATAGAAAAAAAAACCTCTTAATTAAATGAAAATATTTTAATAAATAAAAGAAAAGTTGATACAAAATTAGTAATGTAGCTCCTCAAACGGCATTTGAGCTCATGGGAGTACATATCCAGTTTTATATTATTTTTTTAGTATTTTCAAGCAATTTACAGATAAAAAATTCGTTTATTTTTTATATTTTTTAGAGCAACCTGAGCATCAGCCAAGTCAAAATTAAAATTTTTGTCAGTATATTATTGATCTTAATACTTATTTGTATGTTTGGGTCACTTCTTCTTTACTAAAAGTCTTTATGCCGCAAAACAAGCCAAATGCACCTTTTGAATCTGTGCTTCTACACACTCAAGTTGGACGCATAAGAATAGTCGCAGAATATAAAGAAAAAACGAAGCGAACATACATAGCTACCTACGCACGATCTACAAGGTGTGTTCCAAAGTAAACAGAACTTTTTGCATCTAGTGCCCTCTAGTGGCGCCATCTATATGTCGGCTAGTGTGTTAGAATCTGCTATCCTTTATCGACTTAAATTAAAAATTTCATGACTTTTCATTTATTGGAAGTGAAGTTATTGCGTTTGAAGTGTCAGTATGTTTTTGTTATCGGTGCGAAAATGAGCTTCGAACAAAGAGCCAATATTAAATTTTGTTTTAAAATTGGTAAAACTCTTACCGAAACGTTTCAACTGATGAAATAAGTTTATGGCGATGATTGCCCATCCCGTAGTAGAATGCACGAGTGGTTTCAATGTCTTCAAAGTGGTCGTGGGGACATAAATGACGATGAACGTGTGGGCCAACCAAAATCCGTGATCACAGAAAATTCCATCGAAACTTCGCGTGACTTCGTAAAAAATCAGCCGAAATCATCATTGAAATTCATGGAAATAAAATTAAACATCGATTTATCGCATTGTGACCGAACATTTGGGCTTACAAAAGGTGTGTGCCCGACTTGTTCCGCACAAATTGACTGACGACCAAAAATCGCTCAGAATTCAAGATTCAAAGGACATCATTGAAGAGGCAAAAAAAGACCAAAAATCACATTTTAACAATAAACCACTGCCCGTATTCACCTGATATGGCAACGTGCGACTTCTACCTTTTCGAAAAAATGTATTTGCCGTTGGAAGGAAAGCGTTATGCAGACGTGGAGGCCAATCAAAAGGCTTGCAGCGGTATACTGGCGGTCATACCGGGCAACGAGCTAAAACACTCGTTCGATAAGCCTTTGGGACGTGCAAAAAGCTGTATCAAAGCAGAAGGAGACTACTTTGAATAAAATTCTGTATTTTTTTTTTTTGTTTAAGTGCTGTTTACTGTGGAACGCACCTTGTATACTTATATCCAAATCGTACTTATTTTTTACAATCTGTCAGTGATCGCTTTCGAGTACAGAAAAATTTTTTTTTTAATATCGAGCAAATGGAACTTGGCAACTGGTCCAGCTGCAGCAAACCAGAGTACTCCATTTAAGCAATTTATCCAAAAATTTAACCAAAAAGAACAATGAAAACAACAATGACATATCTTTATTCGAATAGATCGATCCTCTTTCCATAAAAATAAAAAGAATTTCAAGTAAAAAAACTATAAATACATTATTTTTCTAGTTCGAATACCACAAAGAAAAATAGCCTTACTGCTAAACTAAGCAAAAGATTAACCATATACCGAATTTCCAGTAAAAGATAACGATAAATAAAATTTGTTCCAATGCCTCGGTCTCTGGTAGACTTCTCGGAGAGTAGTTTACCTACCTACGAACCTAAGTAAAGTAAGTGTAAAAAATTTCAAGTAAATCGAACCGTGATTATGATATTTTCACGTAGGTGAGCCTTGATCGACTTTAGTATAAACCTTGGCAGGAACCATAGAAGCCATCAGACAAAATTTGAAATCAATGGATCGTTAACTTTTGGAGATCTCCACATCTTTACAAACGAATATGAGACTTTTATATGGACATACATATATATTTATAGACGATATTATTGTTTTTTCATTTAATAATAAACTAAAATTTTTTAATAAATTAGTTCGTGCTATTAATAACCCCCATTCATTTTCATTCATTACTCATTTGCATAAGTATATTTTGTAATTAAGATTGCACTTTGAAATCGAAAAAAATATAATTACGGTTGTTTTACATATTCCTTCTCGTCTAATTACAACTTTTCTTCTGTTTTTTTTTTTTTTTTAATGCCGCAGTAATCTCTTATCAATATATAATACTAGCGCAGGGTAGTGAAAGAAAATTGATAGAAATTAAAATCAATTAAAAAATATTGATCAAGAAGATTTATTGCTAAATTAAACATACGTACTTATGCATACACGGTGTGTCCTAAAAATAACCGAACTTTATATTTAAATTATACAACATACAGCGCCATCTATTGACATTAAAATGATACATTCATCCTCTTTCAAACGCACCTAACATCATGCAAGTCGGATGACAGCTGTAAAAGTGACAGCCATTTCAATAAAACCAAAAGTGTGCTAATGGTTCAAAAATAAAGTGGAACAAAGAGAAAATATAAAATTTTGTGTCAAACTTGAAAAAAAAAATTAATAAAAAATAATTTATTGTGATGATTGTATGAGTCGTATGCAAGTTTATACGTGGTTCACACGATTTAAAAATGGTCGTGAGGATTCAAATGACGACCCTAGAGCAGGACGTCCAGAAACTAGTAATCGTGCTGAACTGGTGGAAAAAGTCCGTGAAATCATTGGTATCGATGCAAATTTTACTACGAGAATGTTGGCTGAGGAATTGAATACGAGTAAAAACACTATTTGGCGAATTTTAACTGAAGATTTGGGGAAAAGAAAGGTCTGTGCGCGATTTGTTCGACATAAATTAAATGACGACCAAAAAATCGCTCGAATTTTTAATGAAAAAAGAGATTTCCCTCACCGACAATCCTTCGTATTCGCCTGATCTATCACCATGTGACTATTTTTTATTTC